ATATATATATATATATATATATATATATATATATATATATATATATATATATATATATATATATATATATATATATATATATATATATATATATATATATATATATATATACCCATGGCTGATTCCAGCGTTATGGATGTGACATTTGCAGTAAAAAATTGTTAAACATATATCAGAGAAGGTATATGTTAACAGTACATTGAAAAATCTGTTTATATATTTTTTTACCCCTTAACCATGGAGTTCAGGCATCAAAAAATATCAGTCAGGTGTTTTATATTTAAATTTAATATCTTTAATATCTTTAATATAATATAAATTTAATATCTTTATTAAATTTAAATTTAATATCTTATTTAAATATCAGGTGTTTTATATTTAAATGACGGCAAAATGAATGCGTTACGGATGTGACAAAAAAAGACATGAGTTTTGTGAGTTGAAATACTTTGTGGAAATTCTGTGAATAAAAATGCAGAAACCAAATCAAATTATAACAGTCAAATGGATTAGGGTTGGCTCTGTATGGAACATATATAATTCGTTTTGTTTAGTTTTTCATTTTTGCATTAATGAGGTAAATCTATCGTTTCGGTTGTGACTTGTCTTTGTTACGGACGTGACTGCTATGAAATTGACAGTTGACACATTAGGAAAATAAAATAAATGCTTTCAAAACTTTAACAAAAACCTTTTTGTGGATATCTGTTGGGTGTGTAAACCAACAAACTTTAACCTCTGAGACATCTGAAAGGTAAGGTTGCACAATTAATCAAACTTAAATAGATATCACTATTTAATCAAATTAAATAGATATCATCTTGTTAAATTTAATTCCTATTAAGTGTAGCGAGCACACGCATGCCATGTCGCCCTGGTCACTAATCCAACCCAGCTGGACCATCATCAGCACCAGAACGCTCACAGCTGTACGTCATCAAGCGGAGAGGCATATAAGCCAAGCCCACGCAAGAGGAAGACGAGCTTCATTCAACTAATGACTCCCTGCGCTAATGCTTGTCTCTCTGTCTCTCCCACAGCAGACTCCAGCTCGTGACGATCCAACACCCGACTACTCACTGTCCTTCACCTACTTCCCGGAGCACCAGAGCACCTCACCTCTAAGAAGAGCACCGTATTCACACCCTGCACTTTGTAAATAAAGCACTCTCCGGGGACTTGTCTGTAAACTTATCCAACTGTGTCAGTGTTTTCCCTCTGCCTCGCTACAACTGGTGGAGAATGCGGGTAATTGCAGAGGAAAAAAATTCAGAAAACAACACTTACCAATAAGGAGAAATAATCGCTGAATTTTTTTCTTTGTGTTACAGACAGGCATCCGCTTTCTCTCTCCCACTCACGCTCTCTTGCTCGGCTGTCATCCTCCTGAGTCATGTCGCTGGAAGAGATAGTACGCCATCTAGCGAAAATTTCAAGAAAGCAACAGGTAATAACAGAACAGCTCACCGCCAGACAAGACCGAATGGAGCAACAGCTCCACCAAGCGGCCGGTCCTAGCCAGTTCCCTGATGTGAGCGCCCATCGTTATATCACCAAACTCAGCTACCTGGATGATACAGATGCTTACCTTCACACTTTTGAAGTGATTGCCAAAAGAGAGAGATGGCCGAAGGAAAGTTGGGCGAGGATGTTGACACCGTTCCTAACTGGAGAAGCTCAACGAGCGTATTTTGCATTGGAGACACCAAAAAATGACGATTATAAAGCATTGAAGAAGGAGATACTCGCCCGAATGGGGCTCTCCACAATCAGCGCAGCATAGCAATTTTCCCTGTGGTCCTATGATGAAAAGCAGCCGGTACGTACCCAAGCAGCTCACCTATCTCGGTTGGGGCAGTTATGGTTGTTAGGAGGAGATCCTTTGGCGATCCAGGTTGCTGAGAAAGTGGTGATCGAAAAAATGAGGAGGGCGTTACCAAGACGACTGCACACACTTACCAGCATGAGGAATCCCGAATCGCTGGCCACCCTGGTGGAGGCGGTGGAGCTGGCAGAAGCTCACGTTGCCAGGGAGACTGGGGAGAGAGCGGCTCTGCCAATCCGAAGGGTAATTGCACCATGGCGACCGGTGGAGGGCACAGCACGGCCAGGCAGCAGACCGGCGGTCCCCAGCCCAGTCGACGAGCCGATGCCCACATCACACTCGACCCAGGCCTGGACAGCAGGGTGCGTGGTACATCGCAACGTCCCTCCCGAAGCTCCCACCTGAAGAATATTTCTAGAGGGGAAAACAAACAGCCACGTTGGATACAGGAAGCGCCATAACCCTAGTACACCCGAAAACATTAAAAAAAAAAAAAAAATCACCAAAAAGGAAAAGGGCGAATCCCTATTACGTGTGTGCACGGGGATACCCGCCACGTACCCTCACAGAGAGTGACCATCGCGGCTAAACCGGGCAGCTGGAGCATTGAGGTAGGAGTGGTTCCGGATCTTCCCGTACCCCTCCTTCTGGGCAGAGACTGGCCGGGGTTCGATGATCTCCTCACCCACCATCAGGCTCTATCGGCTCGTCCGAAGAAAAAGAACAAAGGACAGGCTCAGCGGGACCGCCAACCAGCGTTGATGGCCACCGAGAGCGACAGAGGGGTGAGTCATCATCGGCTAACCTATATTTTGATCTGTTCCAACAGATAACTGCAGGAGGCGATTTCAGAAGAGCGCAACGAGAAGACGAAACGCTGAAACACTGCTGGCCACAAGTGAGAATCGTTGACGGTAATGAACGGTTTCCCAGCCCTCACCCCCTCCCGCATTTTATTGTACAAAATGGTCTGCTGTACTGTGTCGCAGAGAGGCGGGGGAAAAAGAAGACACCATTGGTCGTTCCGAGGACCAAGAGGGAGATGGTTCTGGAGCTGGCACATACTCACCCGATGGCTGGACATCTGGGAGCGGCCAACACAGTTAAAAGAATCCGCGATCAGTTTCACTGGCCCGGGCTGGACGGAGAGGTGAAGAGGTATTGTCAGGCATGCAACATCTGCCAAAGAACATCTCCCCAACGACCACCCCCCAGCCCTCTGATACCCTTACCCATCATCGATGTGCCCTTCAACCGCATTGGCATGGACTTGATAGGGCCTTTGCCGAAGTCGGCCCGGGGACATGAGCACATCCTTGTCATCCTCGACTACGCCACAAGATACCCTGAAGCGATTCTCCTGAGGAAAGCCACGTCATTGGCGATCGCAAAGGAGCTGTTTCTGCTATGCAGTCGTGTAGGAATACCAGCGGAGATACTGACCGACCAGGGCACCCCATTCATGTCCCGGTTGATGGCAGACCTCTGCCGCCTCCTCAAGGTAAAGCAAATAAAAACATCTGTTTACCATCCACATACTGACGGCCTTGTAGAGAGGTTCAACAAGACGCTGAAGCAGATGCTCCGCCGGGTGGTGGCAGAGGATGGGCACGACTGGGACCTCATGATCCCGTATGTGTTATTCGGAATCGGAAAAGTTCCCCAGGCATCCACAGGTTTCACCCCCTTTGAACTGCTGTTTGGCCGCCAACCACGTGGGCTATTAAATGTGGCTCGTCAAGCCTGGGAGCTGGAGCCAGACCCCCAGCGGTCAGTAATTGAACACGTACGGGACATGAGAGGACGTATCGAAAAAGTCATGCCCATCATCAAGCAACATCTGACCGAAGCCCAGCGCGCCCAGCAGAGATTATATAACCGGCCCGCCCAACCCAGAGAATTCCACCCAGGGGACAAGGTGATGATTCTCATACCTACCACAACTTCAAAGTTCCTTGCATCCTGGAAGGGACCATATACGGTGGTAGAAAGGGTAGGGCCGGTAAACTATCGAGTCCGTCAGCCGGGATGAAGAAGAGAAGAACAACTGTACCATATCAACTTGATGAAGAAATGGGTTGCAGCTCCAGGTCATCTAGTTGCCTTCTCAGAAGAAACTTCTCCCGTTGTCCATATAGGTGAGCAACTCTCACCGAATCAGAAGGCGGAGCTGCAAGCCTTGGTCGGTCAGCTCAAGGATGTGTTCTCTGAGAAACCGGGCCGAACCACCATCATCCACCATCCACCCCACCTGGCACCATTGTCCGGCAGAGGCCTAATCGAGTACCAGAAGCTCGCCGGCTGGCTATCAACGAGGAGATCCAAAAGATGAGAAAATTAGGAATCATCGAACCATCCCGTAGCCCGTGGTCCAACCCCATAGTGATGGTCCCCAAACCCGACGGCACCCTCCGCTTCTGCAACAACTTCAGGAAGCTCAACGAAATTTCAAAGTTGGACGGGTACCCCATGCCTCGGGTGGACGAGCTGCTGGATAGGCTGGGTGGAGCCCGATTCATATCCACGATCGACCTCACTAAAGGCTACTGGCAGTTACCACTAAGTGAAAGCGCCAAGGAGAAAACCGCCTTCTCCACTCCCGGTGGACACTGGCATTAACGGGTTCTTCCCTTCGGGCTCCACGGGGCCCCAGCCACGTTCCAACGAATGATGAACATCCTGCTGAGGCCCCACCAGCCATATGCAGCAGCATACCTCGACGACCTGATCGTCCACTTCGAGTCATGGGAAGAACATCTATCCCGGTTGCGGAGGGTGCTCCTAGATCTTCGAAGGGCTGGGCTCACAGCTAATCCCAAGAAATGCCACCTGGGTCTAGCAGAAGCCAAGTACCTCGGATTCCACATCAGAAGAGGTCTCATACAGCCACAACAAAGCAAGATCACAGCACTACAAGAAACTCCACAACCCACCACAAAGACCCAGGTACGTGCATTTCTGGGGTTAGCGGGCTACTATAGATGTTTTATACCTAATTTCTCATCCATAGCCAGCCCTCTGACAGACCTGACCAGAAAGGGGCAGCCGGAGAGGATACAATGGAACAGAAAAGCAGATGACGCGTTGATGGGAGATATTCATGGGTGCTTCTGAGTGAAGTGTTCAGCTACGAAATGTTTTAATGTTTGCTTTTGCGCATTTATCTGCGACATGATTTGTGTTAATCACGTGGTTTATTATAAACCACGTGATGTTTATGCACCAGATTTCCCCTTTGTTAAGTATAAACCACGTGATTAACACAAATCATGTCGCAGATAAATGCGCAAAAGCAAACATTAAAACATTTCGTAGCTGAACACTTCACTCAGAAGCACCCATGAATATCTCCCATAACGTTAAATCTGCAAATTATTTCTGCATACTTGCTCAAGGCCACTCGCAGATTTGAGGACCGCTTAATATTTCTTCATTCCAACGCTCATGAAGCAACAAACTCCATGCATTCGGTCTTCTCCTGCTGCTCAAAATGCGCACATTTTCATTTCATGCAAAGCATAAATATGTTTTTATTTTATTTATTGAATAACTATTTGTAAAGATAAATTTTCAAAGTGACACAATTAAATTTCCAACCACTTTATCCAACACATAAGCACTTTTCAAATCTTGAAAATAGACTATAACCCATATTAAATTCCGCTTGAGTGCTTATTAAAATTATATTACAGATGACAAAATAAAGATAAAATCTTGATATTGATCTAAGCTTGAACTATACATTATAGGAGTATTATATTCGATATAGGTTCTATAATAATTCATTCAATATTTTTACACAATCGATTATAAACAGCCTATAAAATTTAAACATTATAGTCCTCCGTTGTACACACCTATAACCAATGCCTATTTTTTTCTATGCTTGTTTAACATAGCCTACACAAAACATTTAATAATAAAGCTTAGGCTACTCCCTCACCCTGTTTTCTGTATTATATTTGTATATTTGTCTATATTTGTTGTTTATGCACCAGATTTCCCCTTTGTAAAGATTTCGTGCTACAATGTAGTCTTTACAGAGCAATCAAGACAGTGCTGAGGAAAAAATTTTTAAAAGGATAAATGCTATGACTGTCTTGACAGTTTCTCATGAAAATAATTTTCAACAAAATCACAGTAACGTAACTACGCACGTCTACACAAACATAACGAAATTTACAAATGTTTAACCAATCTGCGCTTCTAAACTATTCCAGTGTGTCATTCATAGTGAATCACTTTCATCACAGAATATGTTTTGAACGAATCTGAACAAATGATTCAGTGACTTGGTATGGAATGGATAGAGACTTGGCGCCACCCACTGGAGTGTTTTTTTTTTATTAAAAATTAGGTAATATTTCAATATTCTATCTCTCTGTCTCTGTCTCTCTCTCTCTCTCTCTCTCTCTCGTGTTATTGAAGGCAGGATAGGATAAGTATTTTGTTGAACTGAAATGTTCAGTTACAGCTATAACATATGGATATTATGTAATGTAAGTCAGTAAAAAAAAAAAAAATATATATATATATATATATATATATATATATATATTAATATTTATGTATGTGTATATATATATAAATCAATCGATTACTCATTTTTCAAACCTGTGGATTAATCGAAATGAAGAATCGTCAGAAATGTCCATTCCAATGTGTTAAAGGTCTGTTATTGTAAACATTTCAAGTCACATTTCAAGGCTGGGTCAGATGTCGTTTCTGTGTGGAGTTTGCATGTTCTCCCTGTGTTCACATGGGTTTCCTCCAGGTGTTCCGGTTTCCCCCACAAATCCAAAGACATACAGTATAGGTGAATTGGGGAAGCTAAATTGTCCATAGTGTATGTGTGTGAATGAGTGTGTATGGATGTTTCCTAGTGATGGGTTGCAGCTGGAAGAGCCTCTGCTGCATAAAAATTATGCTGGATAAGTTGCCGGTTCATTCCGCTATAGCAGGGGTGTCAAACTCAATTCCTGGAGGGCCGAAGCCCTGCACAGTTTAGTTCCAACCACGCTCCAACACACTTACCTGTAGGGTTCAAACAAGCCTGAAGGACTAAATTAGTTTGATCAGGTGTGTTTAATTAGGGTTGGAACTAAACTGTGTAGAGCTGCGGCCCTTTTGGAACTGAGTTTGACACCTGTGCGCTATGGCCACCCCAGATAAATAAAGTGACTAAGCCAAAAAGAAAATGAATGGATGAATGAATGATATGAGGAAGACAATGCACTGTTATCTTAGTTTTGATTATTTAAGTTGTGCCTTAATACAGATAGACTCCCCAAAAAACATTGAATACAGTTTATTTAATTTGTATTTTTGCTCTACTGCATTTAACAGTGCTTTTATTTGGTAAAGCAGTGACCAAAAATACCAATCTAAGGTTAAAACAACTATTCATTCTAATTAAACAGAGCCATTCATTTCATGTCGTTAAACAACACTAAATATTTGAAATAATACAATCAGTTTTTATATAATGCATAATTACAATTTTAAAAAGTGTTTTACTTGTGCACATGGGAAAGAGTGCTAAACAAATAACTCACCTGTGTCGCTGCAACAATTGTTTTCCTTCAAACTGAGGCGATACTACAAGAACTTTAAAACTTGCAGCACATCTACTTGGAGACGTGTCTTCTACATCCTGAAAAAAAACGCAAGCAAGTAACTCTTACACAAGGCACAAGATTACTTAACTACTAATGTACAGTATATAATTGCTAACAATGAAAAAATCCACTGTTGTCTTTCCATTCATACAGCTACATACTGATACTTATATGATTTGCAACTAAAATTACTAAATTCATCTAGAGGTGCAGTTATAGTTACATACCACGTGTATCGCACCAATCTCCGCGATCAGTTTCTTACGAATCAAATCTGGGGTAACTGACATATTTCCCGGGATAGAGTATAAGCTTTGAAGAAGGTGGATTATTAATTATTAATTATTAACAAAGTAGACACAGTTGCTGTTTTTTTCTTTTCCTGTTCTTTTTCTTCTTTAGTTATTACCGGCAGCTGGCATCCTGTTTGTTGCATTACTGCCCCCTTCTGTACGATTTTCCTTTTTTTACTTTATATTCTTTTTTGGTCCTGTTTGCCTTAGGAAATTCATCAATCACTTCCTTCCATGTCTGTTCTTCTGCACATTCTACTATACTTTTAATACTCATTTCTGTGTTTCCTAAACTTATCAGCTGATTTATCTTCTTTTATAAATTTACTGCATGATATAAATACATGTTCCACTGTTTTTTACTCCTGGCACTGATTACATAACCTTTTGCATGTTTCACCATAATGAAAAGAGATCCATTTAAATGACTATGTGCCGTTCTCTTCTGCTTATAGTTACTTGTTCTTCTTTTCTACTCATGTTCTCATTTCTTACTACCCCTTCTTTTATTCTGTATAGCAGTGGTTCTCAAACTTTTTTCACCAAGTACCACCTCAGAAAAAAAATTGTCCCTCCAAGTACCACCATGATGAGCAGTATTGAAATACAGTAGCATAGTAGGCCTAGTAAAGCAGCTACAACTCTGCAGTTTAAAATCGTGACAGATTAACTACTATTATTAAGAATATATATTATTATCAGCCACTTTAAACATAAACACTGTTTAAACATTAAC